ACAGACAGAGCAAGAGAGAATTCCTCTGTGCCAGTAACTGTAATAACAGCAATGTCCTGCCAGAGGTCCTATGTATCCTGTCCGTATGTTAACTCTCCTCTCTCGTTGTTCGGACGAAAAAGGTTTTATTTTTTTTTGTGTTGATGGTTTTAATGACTAGGTTTCGAGCCGTGGAAGTGTTATGACACGGCTATGAGGTGATGTGCGTTCGTTGTGTGTAGGAAATGTATCGAGATTGTAGGTAGAAAACATTCCGAATGAGAATGTATATACGGGTACACATAAAAAATAAAATACATCTAGAGGCAGATAAGCGGGAAGTGCACACACACACACACACACACACACACACACACACACACACACACACACAAAACAATCTCCAACAAAACACTAAATAAACAAAAAACGCAACAAATAAGAAAACAAAACAAAAAAAATCCTCCTTCCTAAAAGAAAAGAAAATAGATAGAGAAAGAAGAAGAGGAAGAAAAAGAAGAAGAAGAAGAAGAAGAATTTCAAAACACCTCTTAAGTATAGGAACTCAAGAGCCAATACAAGGGAGGCGCGTGTTAAGAATTCATAATGGGGGTAAAAATGGAAAAGCTTTGTTGGTCCATAAAAGCACATTAAAGGCTTAGAGGGCAAGTCACAATAAAAAAAAACTCATAATGGGAAAAGGCAGCATATACATACTATACAAGCTAAGGCATGGGGTAACATCCACGCACACACACACGGACACACATACCCACACATGCATACACACGTACACACATACACACACGTACACAAACACACACACACACACACACACAGTAGCTATGAAAGAAGGAAAAGGAGAAGGGACAAAAGATAAGCAGGATGGAGAGAGGCGCTACGAAAGAAAGAAGAAAGAGAAGAAGAAACAAAAAATAACAATGGAGAAAGAGAAAGAAAGTGAATGAACACATGATAAAGATTTGGAAGATAGAAGAACGGGAGAGAACAAGTTATTCGAATAAACAGAATGCGAGAAAGTGAAACAAGTAGGAAAGGAAAAGAACCAACAGAGAGAGAGAGAGAGAGAGAGAGAGAGAGAGAGAGAGAGAGAGAGAGAGAGAGAGAGAGAGAGAGAGAGAGAGAGAGAGCGAGAGAGAGAGAGAGAGCAAGAGAGAGAGAGAGAGAATAGCCATATTATAAGAAGAAATTAAACGTAGGGAGAGAAAGAGAGAAAGAGAGAAAGAGAGAGAGAAGAGAGAGAGAGAGAGAGAGAGAGAGAGAGAGAGAGAGAGAGAGAGAGAGAGAGAGAGAGAGAGAGAGAGAGAGAGAGAGAGAGAGAGAGAGAGAGAGAGAGAAAGATAGAGAGAGAAAGAGAGAGAGAGGGAGAGAGTATAGTCACATTATGAGAAGAAATTAAACGTAACGTTTCGATCTCGTCAAGTGTTCCTCTTCAGACGAACCAAATGCTTAACGAAAAGCTTTCCTAGACTCTTCGACCTCAACTGCCTCCCTGTACTTGATTCAGGTCTTGTCCAGTAAGTCTCTCCTCTACTATACAATCTTATTTCATAATTCTTTTCGTCTCTCCATTTCTGTTATTTATTTCGTCTGAAGAGGAAATCCTGACGAGTTCGAAACGTTACATTCATTTCCCCCTCTTACTCTTCCTAAATTTCCTTTCATACGTATAAGCACCATTCACACTAAATCTCCCAACTCCATCTTCCCTCTAATTCCTTTTCAAACGGAGAAAAGGATAAAAAAACAAACAAACAAACAAAGAAATGGAAAGCGGACGAAACCCAAGGAATATATTTTTATCTTTCCCGAGTCAATATCCCACGGCAGAGAAGGGAGCAGGACCTTGCCTCTGTGTCGAGCCAGGTAAACAATGACCACATTTACTGTGCACACACACGCACACACACACACTCACACACACACACACACACACACACACACACACACACACACACACACACACACACACACACATATAGGTATTTTCAGCCTATCTATATCTACATCTTTATCAATATCTATATCTATATCTTTATCTATATGTATATCTAAACCTATTTCTATATCTATATATATATCTATATATGTCCATATATATCTATATTTATCTAAATCTATATCTATATCTATATCTATATCAATATCTATTTCTATATCAATATGTATCTATATGTATCTATATATCTATATATCTATATATCTATATATTTATCTATATCTATAATTATATCTATTTCTATATCTATGTCTATCTATATATCTATATCTATATCTATCTATCTGTCTATCTATCCATCTATCTATCTCTCTCTTTCTCTCTCTATATATATATTATATATCTATATCTATATTTATGTTTATACTTATATCTATTTACATATATATATAATACATATATACGTATATAAACATATACATATATATGTATATATATTACACACACACACACACACACACACACACACATCAGTCTATCTATCCATCCAGCTTTCTACTTACCTTCCTATCTACCTATCCATCTACCTACTTATCTCTCTCTCTCTCTCTTGCTATGTATCTATCTATATATTTGCTTTTTTTGTCTATGTATTTATCTATTTATCTATCTATCTATTTATTAATCTGTGTATCTATCTATATACTAAACAAGCTAAAAATGTGAACACACACACACACACAATAAGATGATATACATACAAGAATTATTTTTTACATCTCTATCTCTCTCTCCTCTATTTCTCTCTCTCTTCCTCTTGCTCTCTTATTTTCTCTCTCCCTTCTCTCTTCCTCTCTTCCTTCTTGCTGTCCCTCTCTCTCCCTTCTCTTTTTCCCTCTCTCTCTTCGCTCTTTCTCTTTCTCTCTCCTTCTCTCTCTTTCCCTCTCTCACTTCTCTCTCCCTCTTTCCCTTCTCTCTCTCTCTATCTTTCCTCCTCTTTCTCTCTCTCTTCCTTCTCTCTTTCTCTCCCTCTTCCTCACCCTCTCTCCTCTCTCCCTTCTCCCTTTCTCTCTCTCTTCTCTCTTTCTCTCTCTCTCCCTTCTCTCTTTCTCTCTCTCTCTCTCTCCGCAAGACAACCTCGATGACACCTTTAGAAGCACCTCTTCACACTCAACTAAGCTCCAGCATCCATTTCACACGCGCATACTCCCCCCTCCTCTCTCTCCCCTCCCCCATCCTCCTTTCTCCCCTCCCCTCTTTCTCCTTCTCCTCCCCCGTTCTCCTTCTCCTTTCCCCCTTCATCCCTCTCCTTCCCCCCCCCTCCTCTTCCCTGTCCTCCTTCCCTCCTCTCCTCCCCCTCCTCCCCCACCCTTCAATCAGTTCCCGACACACACTCAGAGCTTGTCTGAAATACCCCTCCTCTCTATTCATTCACATTTCCCCTCCTACCTCTCCCCTCTCTTATCTCCTTCCCTCTGCCATTCCCTTCCCCTCCCCCCTTCCCATCCCTTTCCCCTACTTTCCCTCCTCATTTTCCTTTTCATTTCTCCTCTCCTCTTTCCTACCCCCCCCCCCGCCCTCTCCCCCCCCTCCCGGACCTTCCCCCCCTCCCCCAAGGTAATATAAGTTGAGTTGAGAGGAAATTACATACAAGTTCCGTTGCCATGGCGACTGTTGCTACATCCGCTTAGCTTCCTAGCACACTTTAGCTTCGGAGTGGGGGGAGTGGGGGTAAGGGAAGGGGGGGGGATGAAGTGGGGAAGGAAGGGGTTCAAGAGCTAAAAGGGAGAGAGGGAAGGGGGGGGGGGGTGGAAGTGTGCGGGAGGAGGAGGGAGAGAAAGAGAAGAGGAGCGAATGAGAGAAAGTGCAAGAGAGAGATAGGAAGGAGAGGGGAGAATAGAGAGGAAGGAAGAGGAAAGGGGAATGAAAGGGGGAAGACAAGTAAGTGAGAAGAGGGGAGGAGAGAAAGGAAAAAAAGAGAGAGAGAAAGAGAGAGAGAGAGAGAGAGAGAGAGAGAGAGAGAGAGAGAGAGAGAGAGAAAGAGAGAGAGAGAGAGAGAGAGAGAGAGAGAGAGAGAGAGAGAGAGAGAGAGAGAGAGAGAGAGAGAGAGAGAGAGAGAGAGAGAGAGAGAGAAACAAGGACAGGGAGATAAGATTAAGAAAGAAATGAAACAAAGAAAGGAAAGACACACAAACCCAATAAATGACACACAGGAAAAAAAAAAAATTATGGATAGATATTCACATTTTAAGACAAACAAATATGTGGAGAGACGAACAGACAGACAAACACACAGACAAGATACAAACCCAGACATACCAACAAATAAAGCAAATACACAGTTCCATCGACATAAAATACCCTTCTTCAGAATCAGAAACAGAAAGGAAATCTCTCACCCCCCCCCTCCCACTTTTTTTTTATGAATCAACCATTCAATCAAAGGATATGTCATCGGAAAAAGAAATAGAAAAGGAAATAGAAAAGGAGAAGAAGAAGGAGTAGAAGAAGAAGAAAAACAATTTACGTATCAGACCCTTTCTCTCTGAAAAAGCGAGAAAATAAAAATAATTATGATAAAGAAAAAGAAGAAGAAGACGACGAAAAAGAGGAAGAAGAAGAAAAAAAAGAGGAAAAAGAAGAAGAAAAAGAAGAAGAGGAAGAAATAGAAGAGGAAGAAGAAGAAGAAGAAACAGAAGAAGAAGAAGAAACAGAAGAAGAAGAAGAGGCAAAAGAAAAAAAGAAGAAGAAGAAGAAAAAAAGAAAAAGAAGAAGAAGAAGAAGAAGAAGAAGAAGAAAAGTAACAGGTCCCGCTATCCAATGATGACAACGACGACGACGACGAAGAAATACATGGAGAATGACAATAAGAAAAATGTCCCAGGCTCCCTATCCCCAAAAGAAGCAAAAGAGAAAGAAGACGAAGTAACCAGAAAGAGAAGCAGAAGAAGAAAGAAAAAGAAAAAAAAAGAAAACAAATAAAAAAGAAAAAAAGAGAAAACAAAAAAAGATAAAAAAAAAAAAAAAAAAAAAACAGCAGAAAAAAACTCGACACACTCAC